ATAAATATTTATGATATTGATTCATATGAAAACATAATTTGTAATCAAGAAACCAATTTATTCTCCTTCCATTATTCATCGATTCGTATATATCTGGTATGGCTCGATTAGCACGGATGTAACGATATATCGATGGAAGCTGTTTCGCGCGAGTTTGTCCTGGTGGGTCCTGAGTTTGTCCGATAGATCGGAAAATCTATTCAAAAGCTCCTCGTAGCTGCTCGCGTAAGCGCCGATCGTGTAATATTACTTGGTAAACGCCAGCGGGCGGATGGATGCGAGAGAACCAAACAGGAGGGCGAAGGAAGGAGATGAAGAGTGGGAGGGAGGGAGGGAGGGAGGGAGCGAGGAAATTTGCAAGAAACTATATTTACGAAGCTCGTTCCGGAACATTGACCGACGGGGAGAGAAGTTACACCGATGGAAGCCGGTCGAAGGTGTTCCGGGAGACCGCAGCGGCAGTTTTTCTTTTCTGGTGTACAAGCAAGAACCTAAACGCTTCTCTAAACGTTCTCGCTCCTCGTTGTATGCATCGACAACGGACAGGAACGATGCTCAGCGCGATCCTTTTATTTCTACTGGTTTATTGGATGCCGTGGACGTAAGGACGAAGGACCTAGTCCTTCATGGGAAGGAACGATGCGGTTTCTTTCCGCTTGGACGAAGGAGCGGATAGAAGAAAGAAGAAAGAGAAAGAAAGGAAGCTCTTTTCCACCTTGAAACGGCCACAAAGAATATCGAGCCCTTCCGTTCTCTTCCTCTCCTCTTCCGACATCCGCGCACAGCTACGACACACAGGAAGTCTACTTTGACATTGTTCGTGGACTATCGACTGCGCTCACAAAAAGTTGCCGCTTTCACCGGCAAGTAGAGCCCGATATTTTTCCAAAGACTCGCTGGTACATGTATCACAACGATCTCATAAGTAATGCCCGACATTTTGTGAGGTGCGACAGGTTTATGAGGCGGAATTCAGTCTCCCGAACAGTTCCTCAGATGTTAGCGCGATGTTCCCATCAAGGGCAATTAACAGGTCCTCGTTAAATTTTATGGGGCGGCCCAAACGTGTTTTATTGATCAAATAATAATTATCAAACCCTATTCTCTGTTTTTCAGATCTTAGTCGATATTGTCCCTTCATTCGTCGAATTTCTGCGAACACATTCTATGCAATTATTTTAGTTTCGTTGTAATTTCTTTTTCATTTGTACGAGAGACATAATGTTCAGATAAAGTCTTCACTAGCAATAAAAAGAGAAGAAGTACAATGCTCCAAAATTCATTTTCAATTGATCATTGTAATACGATATACTTCATAATTTTTGACTCGCTTCATTTAAAAATTATGCACAATGTGTACATCAGTAATGAACCACAGTCATTCGAAAAATTTAATTTCTCTTTGTGAAAAATCTTGTAAGATATTAAAATAAATTAAATAATATTTAGGAAAAAATGCATTAATAATCACGTAATTAACTGCACATTATACATTATAAAACAACTGAAAATAAAAGATATAGAATAAAATGAAAGATAAACGAAATATATACGACAAAACAAACACACATGAAAGAAAAATTCGTATTTCCAAAAATTTCGGAAACCACTCGGGTTATTTTGATATGACTTTGTATCTCAAAGGTTCATTATTTTTACATTATTTTTTTAATCAATCAAAAGCGGAAAGATAAGCGGATATCTTTGAAACTAAGCCATTTCGAATATATGATTAAAAGAAATTTTTATTCTTCGTAAATTTATGAGAAATATACTTATCTTCAGTTACCTTCTGTGCATGTGCGTACAACATTTTTAATCTATTTCATAATTTCACATTATTATTACATTAATTTTTTTCTCTTCTTAAAGTATCTAGAAGATTGTAACAGATACGCTTTTCTCGACAATCTCGAAACTGAATCATCGTATTATTATCAATAACGATACAGCGCGCTACGCGTGAAAAAATTTCAAATCGATTGGATTCTCTTTCTCGTATCGCTTCGGGAACGAGAGACGATCGTTTCTCCGCGGTGAAATCTGGGCGTCGGCGTCTAGATAAGGGTAAGAGAAAAAGGAAGAAGAATGGGTAAGAGGAGGAAGGTGCAGAGAGGAAAGATCGAAGGAGGTAAATTGCCCCGAGATATTTAATCCCGCGGAAAGGCCGAGGGATCTCTCCTTTATTGGCTCGGCGAGTGAGCAACGACGGGCGAGATAAGTTTCCCGTCGGATCGATGGCCAATCGCGTTAAGCGATTTTCGCGCCTCGTTATCCTTTGTTTCCATCCGGTGGACGGTCGACTGCATCTCGTCGACGACGGCATGATGCTCCTTCGTCTTTCGTGACGTCGAAGGATCGATTTTATATCGCGTCGCTCGCGTTTCTCTCCATCTTTCTCTCTGTCTTTCACTTCCATGGTCTACGCGAAGAATCGCCGACTTTCACATTCCTCAATGCCAGGGGAAATTACCGAGGGGTAAACTGCGTCCCGGTGAGAGCGACTTCTCCGTACGAGACTTTCCTATAGCGTCCTATAGACGAGATAGTGAACGAGAACGATTTTCAATTGAGATACCCCCCCACGTAACTTTGTACTCGTGAATCGCTCTCGTCTCCTTCTGTCTCTCCCTTGAGATATTACGAATTAATTAGATGTTCCGAGACAGCGAAAAATCTTTCAGACAGTTTACAAGTATACGTACACTTATATACTGCAAAATTACGTGGTTTGGTATCGTAAAATATACAAGAGATATTTATTGATAGATTTATATTCGATCATTTTTAAGTGTACTTTAGTATTTAATTAAACCTCTAAAAAGTATAAAGTTTCTTAAATTATAATCTTTTTCTTTCAAATTTATAATTTATCTAATTATAAATTATTTAATTTGCCAATAAAATCTAATTCATCAAAAAGCTGTTTAATTAAATATTCTATAATTATTTCACTGCTAAAATTTGTTTTGTTATAAGAATATGTCATAGAAATACATATAATCCATAATTGAAAATTCGATTGAAAATGCTATTATCGTAATTCCATCATAATTCATGCGAAGTGAGAATGAAACGAGAATAAGGGTAATAGTGAGGCGACGTCGCTTCGACATCATTGCCATCATCATCGCCGTCGTCGCCGTCGTCGCCGTTGTTGCTGTTTTCATCCACCAGCTCCGTCGACACGGAGGAGCTTGAATTAAACTCCATTTTCATAGAGCACGCGCATCGCGATTGAATTGCCACCCGCTTGGCTTTGCGCGCCAAGTGCTTTCGGAAATTAAGCGACATTGTGCCTTAACGAATGGGATTCATGCGAATATGGCCTACGTCCTCCTGCCGAACGGCCTGGAAAATTTGCCCACCAAGACGCAAGAATGGAAGAAAAGTGGCAGCGATCCCCGGTCGCATCCCCGGATGCGAAGGGACTGGGAGTCAATTTCAGGGTTCGTTTACAGCCCTTTCGAGAATAACAGCAAGGTTGGCACAAGGTATCTACCTCCATAAAATTACCATAAAATTAACACTTTTAACTCCTTTAATGTCTTTAATAATGAAGACGACCAGCTCTGAATTTATTTGCCCAAGGAAAAAAAATAAAACGTATTTCCATATTCGTTTAAGTTTAAAGAATATCTCAATTATAAAAACGTTGATGGCATATTTTGGAAGTGTATCGCTTATATTTTTTTCTTCATAAAGACCCTTATCAATTGTAACATAATTTTAAAAAATATCGCTGTTTACGCCGTAAACCGTAATAAAGTAATTAATTAATACATCTGTAATACGCGACTTCTCTGAAATTTGATACTTTAAGGGTTAATTTTACGCAAATTGTATACTCGATCATTAATTAGGGTTTTTATTGTTGCCGTCGTGTTTCCGTTTGGTACCAACTCAAATCGATGGCAATTCATTATAGTTCTCCATAAAGGAAGCAAAGATATAAAACGGCGAATTGATCGAGAAAGCGAGAAAATTAATACAAAAGGCGCACAAAGAGGGCACAAAAGTAAGGGTTCGCCGGGGGCAGTCAAAGGGGCGAATATTCCTCCTTGGAAGGCGAGACGTTATTGCTCCGGTGGCGAGTTCATGGCGGTTAATGGTGGTGGTGGTTTACGGCGGTGGCCACGGCGGTACCGCCGGTCTCGTACCAGGCAATATCTGGTCAGTCACGTAGACTGACCTCAGCACCGGAGTAATAACGACGCCCGTCTGGACGTTTCTCCGTCGCCGTCATCGCGTACGTGGAGGACGGCGAGCGGAGGAGGTTGCCATCGCGCGTCGGTGGTGCGATCATCACATGGAAAACAGCGTTCTTTCCTTGGACTTTCCATCGGGGTGGCATTAGGGACGTTACTTTGACACGTCGAATGTCTTTGAGCTTGAGAGCTTTGTCGCGAGATGCTCTTTGCGAGAAAAGATTTGCCAAAAAAATGGTAAAATGCCGTAACAGGCATTTCGCTGATTAGATATTAAATTAACTTCATCGTAATATCGCAGCGAGTCGCAGAAAGTTCGTATTTTGAAAATAAATCAATAGAAATAAAAAAATTGATTAAAAGTCTCATTTTTCTCTTCTTTTTTTTCTTATCTTCTTAAAATTCTAAGTCTCATGTTATTTTAATAAATTATAATAGTAACGATTAATATTTGACATGCTCATAATTTTTTTACATTTAATTAATATCATATATGTTTTTATTTCATAACGCTACATTTATAGAGATAATCTTATTCAAGAAAATAATGATATTCTCTAATAAATAATATTTTTTTTTCGGAACTGAATCGTAATGATTGATATTTGTGCGTATATTATGTGAAATAATATATAACCTTGTTTTTTTTTAATATTACCGTTTAATTTAACCCAGCATTCTTATCGACGTACCTTGTCAATGCGTGACTATCACATTCAGGTATACGTGGGAGTGCATGAAGCACAAAAGAACTTTTTGTGATATAGATAGAGATATATATGTGGCACTCACCGTACATCTTCCCTTCGTCGGAAAGGATGATTTTGCGTCGACCACATGGCGGATATATGGTAAGAGCTTCCTGAAAGCTCTGTTCGATATCCGGCGACCACACACCCTCCGCGTCCGCTGCCGACAAGTCCTTCTCATCCTGAAATATACGATCACTATACGATCCTAATCTAGAATAGGCTAAAAAGGACGGATTGCAATTATCGTACATCAGCTATGCGTCTTTAATCTTAATTAGGCTTTCGCAGAAAAAAATAGCTCTCAGTAATCTCGTGAACTATAAATGTAATAAATATAATAAAAAAATGATACATACTCATGATATGACGTACTAATTTTTAAATTAAAATTGCCAATCAATCATTTCAATTATCAGTCAAATTATTTCCTTACTTCTAAATAATTATTACTCATGAAATTGCCAAATTAACCATTTATACTCTCTTATGTCAATTTATGACAGAATAGATTAAGCCAATTCTTTATATATATTTTAAATAGCGTGATTATAATTATCAAATCATATTTTAAAAACAAACTTTATGAAAGATTATAATAAAATATAATAAGTACAATTTTGATATTCGATAAGAGTTTCGATCATCGCTTATTCAATTCTATAAATACAATTATAAATATTGAAAAACTTGCATTGACACAAATACATATTCAGCGCTATCGGTTCCAACTCGAGCTCTTATCATCTATCAATTTCCGATCAAAAACGTTCTCCATTCTGAGGCAATTCAATTATGATTTCTCAGGCAAACATTCATCACGTTCGTCACGATTACGTTCGTCACAGGAGGGTGCCTTCGCCGCGATGCATTTCGATGACCTGAGCACGTTCGACACGAGAAAAGTTCATTTATCTTTGATTCCACCGCTGGTCGTGCGCGCGCGCGATTTATCTGCCGCATCTATCGCAAACGTGGTCGGCCCTCAGAGATCTTCCTCCCTCTGAAACAAAGGATCTCTAACAGCCGCGAAGCCACGCCTGGAACGTGGCCGAGTGAGTGGACTCGATCCTTTCTCCTTCTCTCTTGCCGAATCGAGAGAATATCTCGCGTTCTCGCCTCTCTCGTCTGTTTTTCTTTCGCTCGTCCATCGCGTCGAGATCCCTACGGTGAACAGGGGTATCTTCGAAGGGTGACGACGTTGCGCGAATACCCGATACACGGAAACCGAATCCAGTAGTCCGAGTAGTACTACTTCGTTGGGACTGGAATTTCAACGAATCAAAAACTTCCGTGCCGCACGAAGAGGAACGTGTGATTCCTGCGTTTCTCCGTGCCGAGAAATAGACGATTATCCAGAGTGTTTAGATACCGAGAAGTGCGGAAAGGGTGCGAGGAAACAGGCTTGTCTCTTCCGAGAATCCTAGTCACGTTCACAACGTTCGATATATAATATCGTCGCACACGCGATCTAAAACGGGAAACTCTCCGGATGGTATGAAAAAAATTCTCGATTTGATCTCATCCGTGTCGATCAAGAATTATAAAAATCAATTCTACTGTTATAAGTCGCTCGTATGCGTGACTGAATAGTTTTCCGAGAACATATACATATTGTTTGTATATATAAAACAAAAAAAGAAATCTTGCTCTTTCTTTTCACTCTCCATAATAAATGAATAGAAATAATAAATATTAAATGATTAAAAAAACAAGTAAAATGTTTAAATGTCTTCATCACGTTGTAGAAATTACACGCAAAAGAAGGTAAAGAGAAAGCCAGAGAATTAAATTGCATAGTCGACGTCCAGCTTTGAAGTGGCTACATATGTCTGACCTAAATAAATCCAATTTGCATGTGCCAAAGTTAACGAATTAATGTTTATATAATAATTCTGTGCATTTTCATATTCATTTTAGTATTCATGTTATTTTATTTACATAGAATATATTTCAAAATGTAAATTAGTTTTCTATATAAAATAACCATAAAAGTGATTTAGTCTTAAATCGTAAAATTTATAAAAATTGTAAAATTTATTGAAATTGTCTTTCGTTTAAAAAATTATTATATTAATTCTTTCGACATGTAATTAGTAGATACCAAACATAAATTTAGTATTAATTTATGTCGAAAATTATAAAATAATGTTATAATAAATTATCATTAAATTTCCATTATAGGCATTATAAAATGCCTTATAAACTCTCTATAATAATTTTAAGATCATTCTTTATTATACTATATTTTGAAATAACTTTTTCTATGCCAAATTTAAAAGTATGATATTTCGGAAATGAGGACTGTGTGTGTTTCGTTTATAGTAGCATAAAATGAGATTGAAGATGACTGACTTCGTTCAGCAGAGAAAGCAACTCTGTAATTGTTATAAAATTCTGTAATATGATTGATCTTGCTATTAGTTCCTCATTAGGGAACAATAAATATATAAACCAATCGTATTAAAAAATTTTACAACAAATGCCTGCTCTTTCTTTGCCAAACGTAATCGATGAAAACAAAACAAGAAAAGGAATCACAACAATTCAATATGTTAAAGAAATTATCAGAAAAATTTTCAAAAATTGTGTACGTATTATATTATCAATAACAAAATTGAATTATACTGTTCGACAAAATATAATTTTTCTCTATCCGAAATGTATAGTACATACTCGAAAGATTTTTTCGCGTTCAACACGAATTCGTTGTCAGAATTTGCATAGAATGTCAGAGGATTTTGAGCAAATTGGAGTGAAATGGATCCAAAAAAGGTATTTCTGTGATCCATTTTACTCTAATCTATTAAAAACGTGCTACATAAATTCTGATAATGGTATCATATTCGACGCAAAAAAATCTTCGGGATATACTATGATACTTGGGAGAGAATTTCATGTTGAATCGTGTTAATATGACATAAATTGATAAAGACTTGTTAACATTCTTTTTTATAAATCTTACACAATGTACTACGTAATATAATATACAATGCAATACATTAATAAAAGAACATATCAAAAACTGGCAAAAAAATTTAATCATTTTCTATCCATTTTTATCAAAACTTTGCAAATATTAAACCAAATAACAACTATCTACATTTTATATCTACATTTTACAACGAGGAATTTTACTTATTGTCAGCCGGAATTTTTTGCGTACAATAATACCAAGAGAGTAACGATAAATGTCGTCTCTAGTACGAAAGTTTAAGCGTTATATACTTCCGTGATATAAGTAAATGCGAGCCGCAGGAAAGAGCTCGTCCCTTCAAACTCGGGTCGGCGAGTTAATTGAAATAAAAAGGGCGCTGAGACTACCGCTCGCAGTCGTCCTTAATTGGCGACGGCACAGTTGACTTACATCGCTAATTTCGCCAACGTCGAGGTTCTTCGTATCCGAGCCGGAGCCGTTGGCGTCGGGCGGCGGCCCGGAACTCGCGGGGGTCCACGGCGCGGAAATGGTGTCGGCTGCAGCCACCGCACTGCCTGTAACAAAACGAGCAACGTACCCGGTTTATTAACTTCTCTCGGAAAAATCCCAGTTTCAAGCTGCGCTCGTAGTCCAGCTTCGCAAACTGAGTTTACGAGAATGACCTAGATTTATTTTGCGAGACGGAAAGTTATTGCTGTCTCGCAAAATGAATCTATAACCATAAATAAGCTTTTCGTAAAAGTATGACTATAAATAAACTCCTCGTAAAAGATACGTTTATAAAGTCAAGTACCAAAGTTCGCGGTACCAAAAGAATAGTGTCGAAATGTGTAGTTGAAAGTAAATAAAGCGGCGAAATAGTAAAGATTAGTAAAACAAAAAATATATAGTAAAAGAATATATAATAAAAAGAATATATAAGAAAAATATGTAATAAAAGAATAGAAAAAAAGCAAAGCTCAAGCTGTTTTATTGCGTCTCCGAGTAGCGGAAAGTGTTTTGTAACGTATGTAATAATCTAAATAATAATAACAATTCCAATCTTAATCATAATATTAATATGATAAAGTAAGTCGCGAAATTTTTCATAACAAATTCGTAATAAATATATTATCTGCAGTTTGAAAATCATTGCAGCATATTCCTTCAGAACTTTTTCATACGCATTCCCAAATCCCCATTTGATATGCGCGATTGTTTATAACAACGTTCGCTACAGAATAATGAATTAATTTCGTTCGCTATCATGTAGTAAACTCGATTTTGACAATGGAATATTATCCTATCGAATTAGATTCGCGGGGGATGAATAGAGTGTAGGTGATACACGTATGTTGCGCGCGCGGAAAGGGAAGCGAAAAAATCAGCACGTGAAAAATTGTGACCGTGGAAGGGTAAAGGGGGGGAGACGGCAGAGAGACGGCACTTCGTCGTCGTTCTACGCTCGTCGGAGCAACAAGTGTTCGCTGATATCGCGTATCAGTGCAGCGGGTGGGGGTAGCTCGTAGGCGGTACACTCCGCCTACCGGGGGTGGAGTGTGTATGTTAAACCCCCAGAAAAGACCCCTATTCCCTGGCTCGGTTCGTACCACCGGTGGCGGTGCAAATCCCGATCCGTAGCAACAACCACCCCCAAGCCAAAAGCGGAACGTGCCTTCCCCCCCTTTCTCGCCCTACGTCCCTCATCCCCCGTGGCATTCGTCGCGATGACGAAATTCATCGGAGAATCATTCACGGAGGTCTGCGCGCATGTACCGGCCATTCCACGGCTCTCGGAGAATCAAGAGACGGGTAATTGTTAATTATACGCAGATATTCGTGTTACGCGTTCCACTTTATGCATTTGGGGGAAAGGCCAAGGGAGGGAAAGTTGGGGATTGTTCGGCTTACTTAGTGGGCCAACAGATTTGAGAGACAGCTGACTGTTGAGCGTCTCTTTTTCTCTTTGAAAAGCAAGCCGACAATGGTCGATATACCTTCGAGAAAAATTATTGTATTATTAATTTATTTATTATGCAGAACTCTCAATTGAAATTTGCTTCACTATACTTAGTATTTTACTTTAATATACATATTTCACTTTTTTATTAATAAAATTTGTTTTTAGCCACTTTAAAAAGAATAAGCGTCGTATACGATAAACAATCAATGGCTGTGTTCAACAAAAAAAAAGCAACTTTGCAACTGTTGTAAAATTCTTGAATATAATTAGTTTCTACATTCAGTGAAGAACTAAGAGTAAGACAATATTAAAATTTTACAATACTTAGTTGCAAAACTGCTTTTTCTGTTGAACACAGCCAATGTTTTTAATAAATTAAAAAACATTTTTAGTCGGTACAATCAAAATTAAAGAAACGAGTAAATGAAAACACTTTTATAAAAATTACATTATTATTATACAATACATATATTCAACATATGTTTATTTTTCTCGTTTGTACATTTTATTTTATGATCAAAATTTTCCTACGCCTTCTCCTACTCGATTTATATATATATATATATAATACGTAATATCTTCTTTATATTATTCCTACAACACTGAAGTCCTTTTCAATAAATTTTTATAGTTAAAAAGTGTTTCAAAATATAGGTATACTATTGTTTCTCCTAGCTTAACTCGTGAACGAACATGTACATTTTGCGACGCTTCACATAAAGATAGGCAAACTGTCAGGGGTATACGTTTCTCCTGAAAATGCACGGAAGCGAGCCGCAATCATCCGGCGGGTGGTCGTGGCTAACGGCGAACATGCTCATATGCAGCCGGAAAATGAGCGGTAGGTTAATAGAGACGCGAGATGTGGTCGCGTACTTGCGCACGTGCACGTATAGAAGTTACACGTATATACATGTATACGTATGTGCGCGTGTGCGTGCGTGAATATGTGTATACGAGCTTGTGCTAGATCGAGCGCGCGATGCTAGAATGGCAGAAGACATAGATCATGGCGGATGACGTATGATTGCATTCGGTGCTCTTGTTGGCAACGAAGAAGAGGGGGAGGAGAGAAGAGAATCGAGGTTACCCAGGGGATGGAAATGTTCAGATGAAGGATAGGGTATGACCAGGCCGACCGTGATAGGGTGCAGGAACTTCGAGGGGGAGAACGCCTCTCGCTGGCGAAACCTCGGAATGTCCTGGCCACTACTATGATCGCGCGAGATCGCGGACGTATGCATCCTTCTCCATTATCCGCGCTGCCGCTCGGTGCCAGATATTACGGTGCTAGATTTCCCGGTTCTCGTTGAGTAATGATCGAGTCGCGACAAATTTTCGGCCCGCAAAGAGGGACGGTGCTGGGGGCGAGCATCGGTCGAATAAGCCGGATTATTCAGTAGATGCTTAGATCTCTACTAAGCCAATACTTAAGACAGCATTTGATTAATTTTTTTTTAATTTTGTGTGATATATAGTTTCTGTAAAATAATAATATTAATTTCTTTATAGTAGCAGAGCTTCTTTTGGAAACTTGGAAAATGTTTTAAATTCATATCTCTTATATAAACATTGTAATAATTAAAATACATATATGCAAATGCATATAACACTCCCTTACTTCAAAAGTGATACGATTCCAGAAATGAAACCAGAAAAAGGGAAAAGCTATTTTTCAACTTGACAGAAAATCATTGACTGATCAAGTAATATCAACAGAAAGAATACATTCTTAACATAATCAAATGTTATTTTCGTTTCAGCCATTAAAAATCATTCTTTTTTAATTATAATAATTTTTTAACCCTTTTTGAGTTGTAATAATATTGACAATTTTTTTTATGAAGTTCATTTTTAAAGATTGATAGGATAATGTTTATTTAACTTATTTATATGATAATAAATAATTTTTTAATTTACGATAATTTCTATATAATTATTCAGTTTGAATTAGCAAAAAATATTAGCGAAATAAATTTTGTTAAAGGAATGTTTAAGTACGTATCTAAGTTTTCTAATTTTGTTATTGTACTAATTAATTAAATCGTTAAATTATTAAATCTGACTGAGATTCTACTGAAATGAAAATTATGGGTAATGTAGAACATTCAACGTGCAACAGCGCGATGAATGAAGAAACTTTCGGGCGGATATTTGCGAGAATGAGATCGTCCATCCACGTCCATCTTTCAAGTCTCATCTTTACAAGTTTAGTTTTACGCTGTATGTGCAGTGAATCCTCGGTGCTCTTAGAAACTACATCGTATAATTTTCATTACAGAATTATTTGTTTATCCTTTATACTTTATTATCAACGCGATGCAATCTCGATATTTTTAGGATAAATAGAATAAGACAAAGAGATGAAAAATCTTGGAGATTTTATGAAATATTTATAATAAAAATAAATTAAGAGAAACATGAATATAAAACGCAAACATTACATTTCATTAAAAGAAAGTAAAAGCCACGCACAAATCTCGCAAAATTAATCAAAAAAATGTTCTAAACTATGAATACGGCCTTCTTGACATCATCAGAGACATCATATCGGAAACGCAAGGAAAATGCTCTTGTTAATTCGTGTTTCATCCTTGAATCACATAGATGAACGTATCAGTTGCGAGAAACTCTACGGCACGAGGCTAGTATACGCCGTGTTCACAGTGATAGTGGTAGTGGCACTGGCTAAGCTGTAAATTTGGCGTATAACCATTCGAGGGTGGTCCTGGTCGAGTAGGCCAGGTCTGTCTCTATCTATCTCTCTCTTCCTCGTTCCGCTTTTCGGAGGTAGTAGACGAGGGGGTGGGCGACAGGCAGGGGGGTGAGACAGGAGACGGGGGTCGTAGAAGCATTCATAGCAGGAACCAGAGGGTGGCTTCGGTGGAATGCGTCCCGTTTAATATCGCGGAACATTATATATCGCCTCTCTTGTCCCTACGTTGCCCGTGTTGAACGTGGTATAACGCATACGAACACATCCTCGCCGGCACGTACACGTACACGTACACGTACACGTACACGTACACACGACGACACCTAGCCGCTTATTCGCCACCGCCGCGTGTCCGATAACGCACTCGCGAGCTCTCAGAGACCTTTTCATAACGCCAGCGGGATCTTCTGCAAGCCATTGACAGAGTTATTTATCGCTAATCGCACGAAAATGCAATGGAAAGATCCGATTCGGTCTGCCGACAATTTTGGCTTCTCTTAATCCTTTAATCCTCTCCAATGCATCTAAAGAGACGCACTGACTTAACATTGTAAGAAAATGTAAAGAGATTAATATATATAATCTCTGTTGAAAATTGAAATTATAATTCCTAAAAGCGATTAAATATTATACAGAGTATCTATCTCTTTTTAAAATTAATGACGACTATTAAGGAGAAAGAGAGATCACTCGCCTATTAATTAAAAATTTCTCGGAAATCTATTTTTGTTAAGATTTTTAATCGCCCTTAAAAACACAAAACTATTACATGATTCTAAGTTTTTACCAAGACTTTTTAAAAAGTTGAAAAGATTCAAGGAAAGAAAAACTTCGAAACAGACCGCGTGTTTTGGAGTTTTTTAATGTATTTCAATAGCGAATATTGCCAAACGACA